GGTCATGTTCATGTGTGGTGGTGTGAGGTGTGGGATGACAGTAGGCATCCGGTCCACAGAATCCCAGAATGTGAGGAGTTGGAAGGGACCTGGAAAGCTCCCCCAGTGCAACCCCTGCCAGAGCAGGATCACCAGAGCAGTCACACAGGAACACGGCCAGGGCTTTGGGTGTCTCCACACAAGGAGACTCCACAACCTCTCTGGGCAGCCTGGGCCATGCTCTGCCACCCTCACACTGACAAACTTTGGCCTCATCTTCAGCTTGAACCTCCTGTGCTCCAGCTTGGGACCATTGCCCCTTGTCCTGGCATTGGACATCCCAGAGCAGAGCCTGGCTCCTTCCTCCTGACACTGCCCTTTCCAAATGGATCCCCAGGAATGAGGGCAGCCCTCAGTCTCCTCTGCTCCAAGCTCAAGAGCCCCAGCTCCCTCAGCTGCTCCTCAGCAGGAGATGCTCCACTCCCTCCATCATCTCTGTGGCCCTGCTGGACTCTTTCAAGCAGTTCCTGTCCTTCTTGAGCTGAGGGCCCAGCACTGGACACAAGATTGCAGCTGTGGTGTGAGCAGGGCAGAGCAGAGGGACAGGAGAACCTCTCTGCCCTACAACCACCCCTTCTCATCCACCCCAGGATGGTGTGGGCCTTCTTGGCTCAAGGGCACATTGCTGGCTCATGGGCATTGCTGCCACCAACACCCCAGGTCCTTTTCTGCCTGGCAGCTTTTCCATGCAGTCACTGGTGCTTGTTTCTACTCAGACTTTGCAACCTCACACCTGAGACCTAAGCCATGCGTTCAGCCCACACACTTACAACCTGCCTCGTACCATGGTGTGCTTATGGGACCTCCATCACACCGTGGAGGCTGTTGCTGCTGTAGGCCATCTTGCAGATGTTTGCCAAAGAGCCCTGGACGTGGTATGGGAGATGCAGAAGCAAAGATCAGAATTAAAAGGCACAGTCTCTGCCCCAGAGCACTTCCAGCCACTGAGAGGGGAGGCACCGGCCATGTGGGACTGCTCAGCACAGGGAAACGATTCGGGCAGTGCAATCGTCTGCAGTCACAGCACATCACGGCCTCTCTGACCTCGGCTTTTAAGTGCAGCCGATGGAAAATGAAGCGAAGGTGTGGGCCACTAATTGAATCCTTGCCTGGTCCCCTGCCTGCCCCCCAGAGGAAAACAGGAGTGGACGTCGCGGGGGCACGTCAGGAGTCTTCCTGTAATGAAGAGAGCCGAGGGAGCTGGGAGAGTGCTGACATCTCGCCTCATTCATTATCTTCTGAAGCCTGTGAAAAAGAGGGATGAGAGCGGCGGCGTGGAGAGCTGCTGGCATTTCTGGAATAGCGTTACATGTCTAATTTATGGTGGTAATATAGATCGAGAAGTTTTGGGTCCAGGAAACAACCACGGAGAGAGCTGACCTTCCCCAAACTTGGGTTGTTTTCTGCGGTTCTTTGGGGATCATCTGGAGTTAATCAGTCCGGTAACTTCTAAAAAGCAGTGTTGCCTAAAAATACATACAGTCGCTTTTGGTTTTAGTGGAACAACGTTTGCTGTAAGTAGAGGGTTGGGGTTTTTTTTTAAAACAAGCTTCAGCGTTCCAGCTCCGCTGTGCTCCAGCCTTGCTTTTAAATTTATAACCCTCCAAAATGAAAAGTAAATTGATTGTGTTATTCCCGGCCCTTTTATAAAAGTTAACATTGCAAAAACAGATGTGAAATGTGGCCTCGTAGATTACAGTCTGGGCTTGGGGTTTTTTTTTTTTGGTTGGGTTTTTTTTTTCCCCCCTTTTTCTCTGTGCTGCGTCCCCGAGGAGCAGAAATCTGCCTTTTTCCAGCAGGAGGAAAATTGTTCTGTGTCTAAATTGCCTCCTGCCTCCCTTCTGCAGGATGCTGCAGGACACGGAGCTCGGAGGAACCGTAACGCTTTTACAAAAGCACACGACGTCGCGGGGAAATTTTAATGACGAACGTGCACCAGAGCTCAGCTTGCCTGGGAATTGGTGATGCTGTAGCAAACCTCGCACCTTCGGGCCATCCATTCCAGTATGGCCCAGGGAGATGTGATTAACAGGCACTGGCAGGTGGATTATGGGTCTTCAGCTCCCTTGTAGGATGCCGGTGAGGTTGTCCTCACCTCCCTCATCCCCCATCGCACAGTCTGGGAAAGCTGAGTTTGGAGCTCCCAAATCAGTTGGATGCGGTGTTGGGGCTTTGAGCTTCTGCAGCAGCATCGTAGTGAATGCGACCGAGCATCCCTGCTCCACAGCTCAGCCCTGGGGTGCAGGCAGGGCAGTTCTTCAGGCTTTGCTGTGTTATTTTCCATATTCTGGTATGTTTATTAAAAAAAAAAGAACAACAACAAAGTTACTGCTCTGCAAGAGCAGCTGAAAGGGCTCCATCGCTGCCATAAACCTCACACTTATACATTATTGTCTTCTATTAGTCACTTAAAAGGCTGGGTTGCTTAATTACCTTGATCACAGTAATCACTTATTTACAAGGTGGGGAGAAATGCCAAGCAATTCCAAGCTGGAGGGCTGCAGAAACATCTCCTTCCTCCCCACAAATGGAAGTGCTTTTGCTTTTCTTGGTGGCACCAGTGATGGTGCTGGGCCCGTGCTGTTCTCCCCTGCTCTGGCTGCAGGGGTGTGAGGGAAATTTGGCCGGTGGGAGCTGCAGGAGCAGACGAACTGGTTTATGGAGCAAGGACTGGGCAGGAGCGGGGAACAGGGAGTGGGATAGAAGTGTAGAGGAAGAAGATGCTCTGATCCGCAGCCTTTGCTACTCACCCAGGTTCAGGTTATTATATTTTGGAGGACAAGGGGAAGAAATGATCAGGTAGAAGTGAAGTGTGTCCCACTGAAACCTATTCCCAGCTTCTTCCTGATCCTATTGGCCCCATAACAAGTTATTACCCCCCTGACAAGCCTCGCCTTCTCTTCCCCATGTTTCTGCACAGGAATCCACAGTGCCTCCTCTGCTTCCCAGCACAGCCCCTAATTCCATCACAGCCCGTGACGAGCTCCTCTCCCGCAGCTCCCGGCGGAGCGCGGGGCCACGCACATCCAAGACCGCAAGAAAAACAAGCGGCCCCTTTGAACAAATCCCGGGGCCGCTTGCCAAGCGGGGATTCCCGGCTATTTACCAACCGCCCTCGCTTCCTCCTTAATAAAGAGGTAAAATGGAAGCAGGGAAAATATGCATTTTCTAATCACCCGGATTTAGCCCTTCAAAGGATTTATTACAACCTTTTATTTTCATGCGTGGAGAATGTAATCTTATCTAGCGTGCCGGCTGGCCCAGCTCGACTCACCGCGGCGGTTTTAGAGCAGAAAGCTATCAAACAGCAAACCTTCGGGGCCACGCTGCGCCTGGGTGTTCAAGTTGCTGGGACGCATTAAAGTGCTTGAAACGTGCGTTAAAAGATGTCGCTGGGAGAGGAGGATAGTGGCGCAATTAGCAATCTGATGCTCTCAGCAGCCTCATGCAGCGCCGACCCCGCGAAGCGACAACGGGTGCCACTGAGGTTTGACGGGGAAAGGAAACGAGCACTGCTGCTGCAAAAAAAAACCTGCTTTCAAAGCGGGCCAGCAGCCAGGCAGCGGGGTGTACGTGGGCTTTCAGATGAGAGGGGTTGTAGGAGAGAAGTGCCTTGAACCTTGAATTTTAATTTACGCTGTTTGCAAGCAGCAGAAGCTGCTGGCGCCAGGGTGGTTTGCGTCCCCTCTGCCACACTGGGGAGCGGTGCCAGTGACATTCGGAGTTCAGCAAGCGAAATCCTATTAAGATAACGTCACGGCCTTTCTGTTTTACTGTTTGCAAGCCAGCCATAACATCATTAAATTACACAACAGGGAGGTGCCTGCTGCCAAGGAGCTCTGCTCGAGATAAGATGCGGGTTGAGCAGCTGCCAAAGTTTCGAGTTGATATGACGAGGAATTTGGAGCCGGTTCAAGGCTTGATTCACACCAGGCATTGCAGCGTGCAGGTAAACACGGGGCAGGATTGGTCCCTGGGGCAGCTCTGGGCTGTGCAGGTGGGGCTGTACCTGGTGCTGCCGGATGGGGCCGTGCGATGCCTGCGCAGGGCAGGGCTCAGCCAGGCACAAAAAGTGGCTGTGGCAGCCACATTTACACCCGTTCTTGTGTTCAGCGCTGAGTAGGAGAGAAAATCTGGATTTGTAGGTGAAGCTCAGGCAGCTCTTTGCAGGCCCTCACTGTCCTTACCTCCACCATTCCCTCGCCAGCCTTTCTGAAGGCCATCAGAAAGAAATTACTTAAAAATTGTCCCTCAAAAGCAGCTCTCCAAGCATTTTTCCATTAGAGAAGTTACCAAGGGCGATGTGTACAAGGACATCTCGCAGTGACCTCCCATCCCCTTGCACATCTTCCCTGCAGAGGACTTGAGGTTCACGCAGCCCCACGAGCGGTGCAACATTCGTGGTGCCTCATCTCTTGGCCTGCCTGCATCCTCGTCATTACAGAGCCATGCACATGCAGGGGAGATGTGATACGGTGCCATGTGTGCCCTTCCTGCAGTTCTCCAGTTTATATTTGGTTTGTTGCCATAGAAAGCGGTGCAGGTTTGCAGGGTACCGAGTTGTCACCACAGCCGTTGCCTTCTCCTGAGCCTGAAAGGAGCTGCGTGTCCCTGAGAACAAATCAGATGGTGTTTCCTGCCACCTCCTCGGGAAAAAAAAACAAGTGTTAGGTTGATGGTTTTAGAAGTAAAGTTTTCTATCTATCAACAGCAGTGGCACAGTCATGGGAGAGCATTATCCCTGCCTCGCAGTGCCTGCCCTCCTGGCTGCAGTGGGCAGGAGGATGGCCCTCATCCCCAAAGACACTGCCAATGTGTGGTAGTTCTTGCTTTTCAGCTATTTTCATTGCTTTTGAGTATCAAAGGTACTTGGGTGAGCCCTTCCACTTGAGGAAAGAGGTCCTGCAGGTGGGCAGGCTGTGTTGGAGGTTGGTAAAGTCTCCACCGTGTGCTTGTCCTAGGTGACACCCGGTCTGGAGGGACAAGAAGGGGAGCTGCTGGTGAAGGGAGCCTCCGTCTTCCGCGAGTACTGGAACAGACCCCGAGAAACAGCAGACGCCTTCACGCCCGATGGCTGGTTCAAAACAGGTACTGCCACAGCGTCTGACAGGGGGAGGGGGGCAGCAGCTCTGGTTTGGGCCCCCAGGCTCCCCAGTGGCTGGGGGGGATGTGGAGATGGGGTGGTTGCAGCCTGGCTGGGGGTGCTTCCCAATGCTGGGCTTGGGGATGGGATTTGCTAGCGTTGGCCGTAATTAATCAGCCAAGTAATGGGGTGTGTTTGGGGGTGTAAGCATAATATACCAGTGCTTAACGTTTTCTGGGGACTTAAGCTTTGCAACCTCAGCACCTGAACACTGGGTGGGATTTAAGCTTCGAATCACGGAGTCATTACGGGTGGAAAAGCCCTCTAAGATCAAGTCCAACTGTCACCCCAACCCCACCATGACCACTAAACCATGTCCCCAAGTGCCACATCCACACGGTTTTTGGACCCCTCCAGGGATGGGGACTCCAGCACTGCCCTGGGCAGCCCCTGCCAGTGCTCAACC